AAATAAAAAACGAAAAAACTGAAAATTTTGGATCGGAAAAGGGAGCCCTCTTAAATTCCACCATAGTAATCGATTTAGTGATCGTGAGATTCTTGATGAATAGCTTGAAATCTACCTATGCAATATGAATCATAATGAGTAGTGACAAAGGTCATATTGACCTCTGTGATGATCTATTATTAGCTCGATGGTTTTTTTTCTTATACTATCAATCCATATATATAAGTATCTATTTTTGTTTTCTCAGATCGTTGTAGTTTCAAATAACGACTGAGAATCTTTTTATTCAAAAAACAATAATAACCATGACTATTGTTATGATACTGAATGCATATAAAACTATTGAACACTAAACTATATTCACATTCATAAGAGTGGTAGTTTCCACATGAACATCCTTGTCATTTTTGCATGCGAGAACATATGATTGCTTTTTATGTAAAACCTACGTGACGATACTTGAAAATTTTTGCATATAAATACAAAAAAAAATGGAAAAAAAATGAATAAAAATGCAAAATACCGGTTGTATCATGTGTTAATGTACAGCTTTGTTCTTCGTAACATTAGATTCAAATTCGTAATTAAGAATGTATTCAGAAATGTTTGATTTAATGATCATCGGATAACTTTCGAACATTCATGTTTACAATTGTTAAAAATTATTAAAAAATTTGAAAGAATATTGTATAATTCAAGCAGAATAAAGGAATAAACAATGATATGTCAAAGAGAAAAATAAATCTAAGTGTTTCTATAAATCGACAATTCTACAACAAAATAATAAAATGCTACATGTCGAAGCAGATTCATTTTAGTATTAGTTCTTTTAAATATGACTTTTTTTCTATTGAGATGTAGAATCTGATAAAATTCTATTTGTCTTATGAGTACATATGAATTGTAATTTAGCATTTAAATACAAGAGTATTAAGCATGAGGAATATCATATATGATATCACATAGGTCAAAACGACTCAAGCAATATGTTATAAGTCAATGAGTACATTGAAAAATTTTTTGCAAGTTTGCATCATTTTTTTTAGAAGCTTCACTGGGCTGTATATCAAAATATAAAGATAGAACTTGAGATTTTGAATTATATAACGTAAGTAAGATAAACATATAAGAGAATATTTCGATCTTGTACAGATTTTAACAAACTGTCATCATCAGTTGAAACTTGTCAAAAACCATAATTAAATAATTAAATAGACAAAATACATGAATATAATAAATAACATTAGTAATAAGTCTAACTCATCACATACATAACATAACCTAAATAACAAAATAATGACGAAATATTCCAGTTGATAATGATCGTTTATTAAAATCTGTATAAGATCAAAATATTCTGTTATATTTTTATTTTCTCTTTTTTTGTCATTTCAATAAAGCTTTAAATTTCATTTATTTTATTGCATTATTATCTTACTTACATTATATTAATAGTCATCATGACTTGAGTATATGTTGTTATTTTGTTATTTAAGTTATGTTACATATATATATGACGTTAATATTTTTATTTATCTATATCATTTGATTATTAATATTAAGGTTATGTTATAGTTCATGATGTTAAGGTCAGATTAGATTTGTTACTGATTCTATTTATTACATTCATATATTTTGTCCATTTAATTATGGTTTTTAACAAGTTCCAACTGATGATGACTGTTTATTAAAATCTGTACAAAATTGAAATATCCTCTTCTATGTTTCTTTTCTTTTTTTCTCTTATTTCAATAAAGCTTTAAATTTCATTTATTTTACTGCATTATTATCCTACATTAAAGACTGTATATATTATAATTATCTGCAAAATGGATTAGAGACTATAAGATGTATAAGTGTGTGTCTGTTGGTATCAATTAACATTTAGAATGATACAACTTTTTCAACGGATTTTTCTATATGATTGTGAATAATATATTTTACTTAACTGTGATGCTATGATCAAATAATGATTACATATCTCAATAGGACTTCCATGATGAAAAAAATATACCTATCAAATAATATTATCTAAATAGAGAACATTCGACAAAATTCACAGAGTTTGATAGAACGAAATTCAACTATTTTCAAGGTTGTAGTGTATCTAAGAAAAAGTAATGATATGAATCTTGAGTTTAATAGAAGTTGATATACAATGTATAATTAGATTTTCGAAGTTATTTTTAATTCATATATTATCATTACATGTATGTATTGGTTTTCTTTAATATTAACTATAAAGTTTAACTTTGTTTCCTATAAATCCTCTCATCAATAGGATGCTTGTTTTTTTTTTGAATAAACTGTTAACAGTGATTAGTAATTATTCGTATCATTTTTTTTATCAGCTTCTATCTCTCATTCAAGTCTTATTGAAATAATTCGTACAAAAAAAAATAACAATAACAATTACAATTTAGATAATAACGATCAAGATATGCATAATTTGCTAATAAAAGAAGATGAATGAAACAATAAGTTCGAACAATAATACTTATTCCATCGATATTATATTGATTATTTGAAAATTTATTACTTTCTTTTTTGTGTATTTGTATCAAAGTTTTTTAGTCGATTGAGATGAGTGCTAGACAAATATTTAACAAATAACAGGATTTTGTTAAGATATTCTTATGATTTGTTCATCAGTTTCATAGTTAACTTTATTCTCAAAAGACATAAACCACAAATGCTACTACATTTACAAAGAGATATATGTGACATCGTGACATCAGCAATAGTAGTAAATGACTTTGTTTTTGCACGAAAGGAAAAAACATATTCAATTTTTTCGAATATTTCTTTATGAAATTGATGTTCGATTTTGTTCGTTGCAAAAATTTTACATATGAAAAGAAATAGTGATATATATTGCTGTCTATCATCGATTTTGAATGAGGCATAGTACTTAAATAATCTTTATAAATCTTCAATATTTTTTCACATAAGACATAAGCGACAAAGAATATATTTTCCTTAATAGATGCTGGTGTATACAAAAAGAAAAAAGACAACATATCGATACATATAAATATACACTCTACTGATACATCTTTGTCAACTAGTTGATTTATATAAGTGCAAGCACAATGAAATGCTATTCATGCGTACATAGGATTAGTTCATTCTTTTTCCGTGGTTGGTTTTCTTGGTGGTAATGTTGGTTCTTCTGGTATATCTTTTTCACCAAGACATATAGTACGCACAATAATGTCTGTAACAGCATATGGATCACAATTTGATGCTGGACGACGATCTTCTAAATAACCACATTTTTCTTCACCAACTTGACGAGGTATTCGAATTGATGCACCACGATTTGCAATACCAGCATTAAATTGATTAATCTAAATAATAAAATTATTTCAATAGTAATATATAATCTAAGATAGATTTTGTTTGTTTATTTTTTAACTTACACTTGCTGTTTCATGTCGTCCAGTTAATCGTCGTTCATTTCCTTTACCATACACAGCGATATGTGTCTTATGACGAGCTTTAAGTCTTGCAATAGCTTCATCAATATCTCTATAAATAATGAAATTATTTTTCGTCAATATAGAAATTTATATTCAAACTACTTACTTTATGCCATTAGGTTCACGCATAGCTAATGTTGAAAAATTAGTATGACATCCAGCACCATTCCAATCACCAGGAATAGGTTTTGGATTTAAACTAACTTGGACGCCAAATTCTTCGGCGATACGAACTAATAAATAACGTGACATCCAAAGTTGATCACCACCAGTAATACCTTCACATGGACCAACTTGATATTCCCATTGAGCTGGCATTACTTCAGCATTAGTACCACTGATGTTAATTCCACAATATAAACATGCTTTATAATGTGCTTCAACAACATCACGACCAAGTGCTTGAGTTGCACCCACACCACAATAATATGGACCTAAAAATAGTACGAAAAATAAATGCATGTCATATGTTACATGTGTGCGTGTGTGTGTTGTTTTTTCTTTAACTAACCTTGTGGATGTGGAAATCCACCTTTTGGCCATCCAAATGGCCATCCATCACGATCTAAAAGTGTATATTCTTGTTCAATACCAAACCATGGAATTTGATCACTTGCTAATGTCATCGCTTCTACACACTTGAATCGTTTGTTTGTAGCTTAGCACACAAAAACAATGAATTAAATTAAGAACATCATATGAAAATGTTTGATTTCTTTACCGGTTGGTTCGTTATTGCATTTGTATGTTTCACACATAACTAATTTGTTTCGACCGAGCATAAATGGGTCTTTAAATATAGCTACCGGTTTAAGGTAGACATCTGAATTTGAACCTTCAGCTTGTCCGGTTGATGAACCATCAAAATTCCACCACAGTATTTCTTCTGGTAACTTTGGTTCTTGATCAAGTGTTCGAGTTTTAGCTAGAGAATGAAAAGGAAAGTAGCAATTAAAACAAGGGTCACGTTGACTTATGATAATTAATTACCTCGAAGATTTTCTCCAGTACCATCAATCCAAATGTAGGTAGCTAAGACCTTATTGTCTGGTTGCGGTAATGCTAAATATCGAGAAAGAATAGCTTTGTTCATAGTCCCAGATTGGGGTACTCTCGTTTCCATAGCTTCGATTTTATGAATATGCTTTTTCAATCTGAAAACAAGAAAATCTAATTCTAATCACCACATTGAATAATATTTTTATAATTAGAAATCACGTAAGATGTTTTTTTCTTTTCATTATACATGGTTTGATAGAGACTGATCTGCTGCTCAGAAAAAACTATTTTTTTTAAACTTTTGTGAATTGTTTTTTCAGGGTTTGCAAAATTTATTAAATCGAATCTGATTCGAAAAGTCTGTTGATGGTGGCGAACTAAATTGGATATATTCGTACGTTTCTGTAAACCTATCTAGTTTTTTACTTTTTCTCTCTCATTATTCACACAGAAAAAACTGGATAGTTTTACAGAAACGTCCATGTATGATCAATTTTGGTTGCACCATCAATAGACTTTTAGAATCAAATTCAGTTTAATAAATTTTGCAAACCTTGAAAAAGCGATTCACAAAAACTAGAAACTAGTTCTTATTGCTCAAAAGGTCAATCTCTATCGAACCATATATAATAAAAGTATCTTACTTATATTGCGCCTTACAGGCATTCTACATAAGAAAACGATATTATGAGAATGTTTTTTTATCTTGATACATCCATATTTCCTGTCCTTATATATTTCTTTGGATCTGCTGTTGCTGTAAACAGATAATATTATCTTCTGTTATTTACTTGTTTTTTTTTTCTTTTTCCCTCTAATGTTTTGTACTAAACGTATATTTTTCTTCTTGGTCGCTAGTTGATATCAATAGAACGTTAATGATAAAATGAAAGAAAAGAAAAAACGCATAGCAATAAATATATCATTTGGTTACTTTAAAAGAAACAAAATAAATGAATGTTTGACATTTTCTGATGATATATTGCGAACTGTTATCCAATGAAAATATTGCGCATATAATAACAACAGGAAAAAAGAATGTTACGGATAATGCGCAGAAAAATTACAAGCGCATATTGACATCAAAAATAACAACAACAACTGCAGATTTCTATCAATAATCGATATACTATAAGAAAGATACTATGTCATATAAGCATCAAGACTTCGCCACTATAACTAACTTGTTTACGATTGAGCTGGGTACATTTGTTGTGACCTAAAATTTATGATCGATAGAAAGAAAATAATAAATCAGTTGTATTATTTCTGATTAACGATATAAACTAATATTCTTATATTTTATCACTTCAATCGATGTTTTTAAATAGGCCATGAAAAGTCCTGTAGAAGAATAAATACAAAACATCAATAGAATTGCTGCAGTAAATAAAATCTCACTTACATACACATGATGGTTTGTGGAAAAAAAACAGAACTTTTTCAAACGATCAAGCTAATAACCTTATCATCTTTATTACTGAGAAAATTAGCAGAAAAGATAAAAACACTAAGATCGTAATTATCAATGTTTGTTGTTTTTTTT